GCTTTTTGGACACACAGGTCAAACTATACCTCCATTATAGTGCAAGGTAGCAACCCCACCAAAATGGCTAGTGCATGCCCTCAGGTCTTCACAACAAGCAAGGATAGGAGCAGGAGAGATGTTCTTCTCCTCCCTGTTCTCTTTCCCATCCAGGCAGCATTCTGGGACAAGCCACAGAGTAGCCAAGTTTGCCCCTCCCCTACTTCTTACTCTCAGGGCTTGTCTTTCCTCTGCTTATCTGATCAACAGCCCAGCACCTGGCCCCCATTGACAGGCTGGGGGAGACATTTCTGAGCTCCAGCTGAAGATACAAGAAAGTGATGCTCACACCTTTGTCTTGGAAGGTCAGCTGGAAGATTGGAAGTGTCTCTGTTTTACAATAAGTATTGGTTGCTGAATTTAGGATTTTTTTTTCCTATCCGCTGCTGCCAGTGTGTTATGATATATTTATTATGCTTGATAGCTGTAAATGTACCCAGAGGGTTGGCCATTAGACAAGTATTAAAAGTACTAATGCAATAAATGAATAAAAATTGCATGAATTATACTCTCTGCTTTTTCACAGAGAGAAAACTGTGAAGCACTGTCAAAACTTTAGGTACCCAAGTTATTGAAGGGAGAAATAATTCAGTTTACTGTGCGTCTGTAATAAATGTAGTTCTCTGTTCTTGCACTTCCCCTGTTTTATTTTGAATGAGACATGCATGCTTATAAAGATAACAGCAGCAACAGAAATCAGCCAGTCTAAAGTCAGGTCATCTGGTGAGAAGTGAAGAAATTGGCTTCATTTCTTGACTTTTATTTTTCAATTCAGTGATGCTTTTAATGCACCCATTTGCTGGGGCATTTATAGCTGGGATTGACATTGTGGATCATTGGTAATTTAGATCCAAAACTGTCCAGAGAATGACAGTTTATTCATGTGAAACATACTTTGTTACATCATACTTTGCCTTTTTCAGGGGTTTTTTGCAATAGATTGTGCAAAATGCAAGAGAATATAGCCAGCTTCCTAAGAGGAATGGTTTGATAAAGGTTACATAATAGCATGCTGCAATTTCATGGTACTTGGTCTGGTACCTCATTTCTTCTCAGATTTCATAAGCTGACTATGTAAGAAATGATATTGGAGACTCTTGTGTAGTCACACAGCAGTCTGGTGTTGTCTCACCAATCCCTGAGTTACAGCATGAGGACTCTTATTTGATAGAAACATTTCAAGGCTGCTGACAGCAGTGACAAAACTGTTCAGATCATCTCCCTTGTTCTTTTGCAGAGAACAATAATAGTAAAATTACAAATAAACATATCAAGAAATCTTATCAGCTGGGTCTGGAATATTAAATGGAAAGAAAGCAGGATAGTTTAACCAATACAGTGTATCATTTAAGAGATTTAATCCTGAGTTGTATTAGGAAATATTTGTAACATTTCCCCTAGTTACTAGTACGGGATGTAAGAGGCTTTAAATACAAAAAGTTAAGTGTTTTTCATAGTTGTTTTGAGAGTCTAAATTCAGCATAGCGTGGGTTTGAGCACCTGCCAAGAGCATAGACCATGCAGTGACAAATAGGAAAAAGGCAAATCTTTTCATTTGTATATCTCCAACAATTCTCAGCACTCTTACTCATATTTACACATATTACCACTCTCTCTAGCCACTACATGGCCTTCATTAACATCATGATCTTGGCTGTTTTATTAAATGTTTTTGGTTTTTATTTAACATTTTCTATATTGAGATTTTCAATGTTTTACAATTTAAGAATACAAACACTGTATTTGGATAAAGAAAACTGGATTTTCTAGGGTTTTATGCCATTGGGTGTCTTTTGATAGTAAAAATATGGCTCAGGATTTTCAGAGTAGATTGCTGCTTTCGCTGTGCACCAACAGCCATCGGTCAGGCTACTGAAGTACAATCTTAAACATCTTTGAGCCCCTAAGATCTTCAGTGGGAGTTGGATCCTGCCTTTAGTCACAGGCGCCAGCTTCCTCATTTCCCTGGGGGTGCTTGACCCCCGTTCTGCCCCCACTCCACCCCAGCCAGCAGATCGAGGGACATGATCGTTCCCCTCTATTTGACATTGGTGAGGCCTCATCTGGAGTACTGTGTCCAGTTTTGGGCCCCACACTACAAGAAGGATGTGGAGAAATTGGAGAGAGTCCAGCGAAGGGCAACAAAAATGATTAGGGGTCTGGAACACATGACTTATGAGGAGAGGCTGAGGGAGCTGGGATTGTTTAGTCTATGGAAGAGAAGAATGAGGGGGGATTTGATAGCTGCTTTTAACTACCTGAAAAGTGGATCCAAAGAGGATGGATCTAGACTATTCTCAGTGATACCAGATGACAGGACAAGGAGTAATGGTCTCAAGTTGCAGTGGAGGAGATTTAGGTTGGATATTAGGAAAAACTTTTTCACTAGGAGGGTGGTGAAACACTGGAATGCATTACCTAGGGAGGTGGGGAATCCCCTTCCTTAGAAGTTTTTAAGGTCAGGCTTGACAAAGCCCTGGCTGGGATGATTTAGTTGGGGATTGGTCCTGCTCTGGGCAGGGGGTTGGACTATATGACCTCCAGAGGTCCCTTCCAACTCTGATATTCTATGATTCTATGATTCCCTCAAAGCCCCACCCTTGCTATGCCTCTTCCCACCCCTGTTCTGCCCCCTCCCCTGAGCCCACTATGCCATCGCTCTGCCTCTCCCCCGGGGGGCCTCCTGCACACTGATGAACAGCTGATTGCAGTGGGTGTGAGATTCTACGGGGAGGGGGAGGAGCTCATTGGTGGGGGCCTGCCGGCAAGCGGGACACACAAGGAGGAGTGTGGGAGGAGCTGATTTGCGGGACTGCCGGTGTGTGGTCCAGCCCCGGAGCACCCACAGAGTTGGTGCCTATGCCATTTGTCCTTAGGGAATAAGGAGAGTGGGATACTGTGTGTAGGGCCATCTAGTGATCTTAGGAAAGGCAGAACAGGATTATAGTGAGCAATTTGTAATTTGACTGAAAATGTTTTCTGAGTCTCCTGTTACATCTAACTGGTCAGTGACTTCTGCCCTGGAAAAGAGATGAACTGGGAAGCCCCATTAGAAGCTATACCCATTTAAGATGCACTGGTGCATTCGTAGCAGCAGAACCCAATTGTTTCATAGAGTTTCTGTGAGCTCTGTACTGAGACAGGAGCTGGGCGGTGGTTTTGAATGTAACGCAAGTAAAAAATAAACAATTGTTTACTGTAATAGCAGCCCTGTGGCTTCCCTATAATTTGGAGGGAGCATTTCAACTTGTTTTTAAAAAGCCTGCTGTTCTTATTTTGCTTTCATGTATATATAGCACATTGAAAATGAATGGTTAGAAGTGGAGATGGATTGCAGACAGGTTAAGAGACGTCCTGTACTTCACTTATGCTAAGCATACAATGACATGGGACTCAATAGTGAGCCGCTTTTCCTGTCCACACAGTGGAATAAAGGGATGGAAAATGCTCCCTTACTTCCTTGTGCAGACTATTTATACCACAGAAGTGTGTGTGGGAGGGAGAGCAGCTTCTGGGGGTTGCTACTCACTCCTGTGCAGGTGGGGAGGGACAGGAAGGGGTTTGAGTGGAGCCTTAGCTATGTTAAAACAACATTATTTAGGTTACAGAGTCAAGCAAAGTTAGGAAACGCCAGAATTTAGCTTGCCTATGCAACCTTAATTGCATCCCTTTGTGCATATGCACTAGGATATTTAATCACATGATCACATACTATTTTTTGCATGGATAATTTTCCTGGCATGATCCCTGTTAAGGCTTTAATGTGATCAGTGTACTTGGGAAGGGTGCACGTTTTTTGCCGAGAGCTGACTGGCGTGGTTCTGTAGATGTTTTTCTCTTGCTGGTGTTGTATAGAATGTTTTGTTCGCAGGTTAATATGATGTGATTCTTGAAAACTTGCTTATTTTTTTCTTCAAAGTTTTTGTGCTAGATTTTACTCCGGGATGTTCATGCACATCTCCCACTAACTTTCCTGGGAAATACGTATGTGTATTTTGAGGGTAAACCCTGGCTAAGTCAGTTGAATAAAAGCAAGACTTCTGCATGCTTTTTATTTTATGTTCTTCTAATCACTTATAACATCTGTATTTAATGAGTTAAAATAGTAGCAATTAAACACAAATCCTCATTATATTGTGGTAGCATACCATAGTTAATAGTGAGCTGGACATTATATTCTGGACCCTTCATTTTAGGTATTTACAATTTAGCAGCATATTTTGTTTGGATTTAAATATTTCATGCTTGGTCTCAGTGCAATGATTCCCTTTTTTAAAGTTTAGCCAAAATCCCTTTTAGCTTTTACAATTATATAAGTATTTAAAAATGCATTTTTTAAAAAAACCTATTGGATTCCAAAATAGCTTTGTTTTGAAAGATCAGACATAACATGTATCTTGTCTTCAGTGAGAAATTCACTCTTTGCAAAATCTTCAAAATGTGGCTGAAATAGAAAAGGTATGAATGTTTGAACAAGATACACTTAAGCATGCACAACTTGCCACTTTCATTACCAGTTTAACTGTATATATTCAAGAACAGCAGAAAGACAAACCAGTGCCCAACTGAACCCTCTTAGTACTACTCCTGGACTACCTCCCTAATTGTTCAGTACAAAATAAATCATTTGTCTCTGTTTTATTTAAACCAAGGAAATGAAATACTAAACTGTTAATGCAGTATTAAGAACTGAGGGCCAAATTTGATCAGTTATACTTGTGCAACACCACTGACCACAATCTGGAATAAGTGAGAGGCAAATTTGATCTTCAAAATGGTTTTTCAAGAGAGGGGTTGAGACAGTCTTTAGGCAGCTTTCAGCGTAGCTGTGGACTAACTCCTGTTTACTCCAGTTACTGTCCAATATAATTTTGTTTTTATATGTGTCTTTTGTTTATTGCTGTGTAATTTGAACAGTTCTTAGTTTTATTAACCTTGCTTTCCTTTACTATTCTTCCCAGGGCCAGCGTCTTTTTGAAAAATTGCTAGAACTGGCGTCTCGAAATATTGAGATAAAACTAGTGAGTGATATACTGCCCTCCGAATCAAAGGTATTAAACGACTTGAAAGCAAAGGGTAAGACCAAGGTCTTTACGTTATTATACCATTGACTGCTATATTAGCATAACTCTTTTCTTTCACTTAAAATGCTGTTGCTTCATAGACGCAAATAAAATATGTGTAAATCTAAACCTATTTGTTCAATGGTGATACCCTACAATTCTTCAGCTTACCTTGGCTCAGAGTTTTCATTCATCTTCCAAAAACTCTTTTATCACTTTAGATGGAGCAGATATTTGCAGTTTGTAAGTGGTAAAAAGGTGGCCATGTGATTACAATTTTAAGTCATCGCAACCATACTAATGGTAGGCAATGCAACCTGAAAGAATTATTGCACGCTGGGATGAGATATTCTTCTCTTCTGAGGAACAGTGAAACAAATAAAATAACATGTCAATGGTATTGACGTAACTTTTGCCAAATCCTGCCATCAATTTCTATGGAAAACCCCGGTGACTTCAGTGGGGGTTCCCCAGGCAATTGATGGCAAGATGCAACCTGTTCTATAATGAGCGACTGTTTTGTTATCTGATTTTTTTATCTGCAATGTATGTTACAATGATCTCTCACATATACATCATGCATTTCATTGTGAAGTATTGTAAAGCTCTTTAGAAACTGAAACATACACTGTCCTGTCTGAAATCTAGCCAATTTAAAAAATGAAAGTCAAATGTAGCTTCAGGTACTACACCTGTCTCTGAGACCCTGCTGACCTTTGAGCTTTCACAATCACAGTTTTGTATTTTTAAAAAATGTTCTAACTAACCAAGCAGGGGCAGCTTGCTGACTAGTCATGAAAAACAATGAAACTGACTATATAGAAAATGTCAAATGTACAAATAAACAAACTGGAAACTGGAAAAATAGAGAATGTTTTAAATCTCTTTCAGTTTTGGTAATCTTAGGTGTTACTTGAAGCAAAAGTAGAACAGTGATGTAAAAAATCTGCTAGAAGTGGTGGGTTTTTTTTTTAATTTCAGGTACAATTTTAAATTTAAAAACAAACTCTCCATATGAATCCTATCATCCACCTCTGAAATGCAGAAATCAGCAGGTGTTCAAGGCACTAATTCAGCAAAGTGCTTAAACATATGTTTAACTTTAAGCATGTACTTAAGACTATCCCTGTGTCTAACAGAGCACAGCGATATTACATACTTGCTTAAGAAAAGAAGTGAAGAATCTTTTTCCAAATGAAAACTGTTAATTTGTATTTTATGAAGTTTCTTTTAAGCTGATAATTAGATATGGAACAAGAGAAATATTAATGAAATTCTTGCTTTGCTAAAAGAGATCACTTTCTATCACATTACCATTCTGCCCATATCAGACAATTGGTTATTTCTGTTGTAGTCCAAAGGTGTTATTTATTCCATTATGACTATGAGAAGAATCTGGATGTCAACCAGAGCGAGACAGACATTTTCTAAAATATGTTTGCAGCAAGTGAATCAATGGGGTTTCTCTTCTCACAGATTGGAAAAAAAAAAAGGCCCTATGTTGTATCACAGCATAGCACAGTAGCTTAAGTGGCAAGAGGGGCTAGCCACCTCGACTCATACCCATCCAAGATGCTAGGCATATATTTGGGAAAGTTAGCCTGTCGTGCTGCTCCGGGTGCGGTCGCTACACCCTATTTTTAGCACACTAGCTCAATCAAAGCTATCGCAGGTATGTCTTCCTGAGCTGGGAATAGCACCCCAAGCTCAAAGTGTAGACATACCCTTTGAGAGAACGGGTTCATTTCTCCATGGTTAGAATGTTCCAGATTCTTTCAAGCCAACCAGTTATAGAGATGGGATCTGTACATTTGCATTTAATTTTTTTTCATAATTAGCCAAGAACAGGTTTCTCTATGTTGCCCCACCAGAGGATATTTGCAGGAAGGCCCCTAGTAAGTAGGCTGATGGATCTAGAGTTATATCTAGATCTGTGATTTTTATAATTACATTTGTTTGAGTTATAAAAACTTTGGATTTGGGGATATGGCCACTGCCAATGATGTTGCTGAGTGCCTCATTGCCATACATCCACCAGCAGTGTGGAGGAATAGATGCATAGATTCCAAAGCCACAAGGCACCACTGTGATCCTCTACTCTGACCTCCTGTGTCACGTAGGCTATAGAAGTGCCCCACACTAATGCTTGTTTGATAAAGCATATCTGCTAGAAAAACATCCAATCTTAATTTAAAAATTGCCTGTGGTGGAGAGTCCACCATGACCATTTGGTAGATGATCCTATGATATTTAATTTTGAAGGAATAAATGGAGTCTGCAGTGAGAACATTCTTCTGGTGGTTTATTCTCTTTGAGGCACCAGCTGATATTAGAATTTAACATCAAAACTGGAACTGTATGCTTTAAACAAACAATTAAAAACTTCAGCAAGGAGGAGAATTTGCAGTAAGGATTTCATCAAAGTCTGTTGCAATCTCATCAGGGCTGCAAGCCTTTCCTAAGTCTAAGGATTTTATAATTTTGCTAGCTTCAGTTTCCTTTGTCTCGCTCAGGTTTCTGCTAAAGGAAATTTTAAAGTATTCTAATGAGTTTGTGGATATATCAGTTGACTGTTCTAAATTATAGCAATTCTCTTAGAATCCAAGGAAGTCACTTGTATCTGATCATTTTGGTGTATCAGACTACAGTCCTGTGTTTGGAGTGTTGTAATTGAGGAAGGAGGACATGTCAAGTTTTTTTCTGTCCTTTTCCAAGACATACTAAGGTGGAGTTGGATTTCTCATAATGAAATCTTGTTGTTTTTCTTATTCCATGTTTGGTTTGTTTATTTCTGCTAAGTTTCAATATCTCTGGGGAATGTCTTGATTATGGAATCAGTCTGTGGATGTTTTCCAAATGTGCTAATTGGCCATACAGCTCTTTCACTTGTGTCTGGGCTAAATTTTATCTCCTGGAAGCTAGGGAAATCATTTCCCCCTAATTACCACTTCTGCTGGCTCCCGGAGAAGATGTAGGTTAGTTTCTAGTGTGCCATTAATCAGTTATGGCGATTTTTATTGCCTTGTTGAAATTAAAGGATCTTGTATGAACAGGCGATTTATGGTCCATACAATTCTGTATGTACTACTTGCTCTTGTCAACTAGAAGCTAATTGGTACATGAGCAGAAAGAGAAATTTCTCCAGTTCTCTAATGCTTTTAACAAAAGCACAGTGAATGGGAGAAAATATATAAATATTAAATGAATGAATGTTCTGTTGTCCATTGCAGACACAGGTGCGAATATCTCCTAGTGCTGCCTTAGCTACTTGCTTTGACAGGCATTTCATTTTTTTCTCTGCCATTTACCCTGCCAGGTCTGTCTAAAGGAATTACTAGAATCTCCTCTTGTGATACCCTGGCCAGCTGCATCCCTAGAAATCAGTTAGATTTGACTCTTTAAAAAGACCTGTGATTGTTCATTTGGAACATATGTATAAGTAAAGTATAATTCGGTCTATTGTTGTTTTCCCAGCCAGTATAAGAACTCTGCCTTTTGTGTCTAAGGAAGAACACTGCATGGCAGATGGTACTTTTTTTTTTATTTATAATAATAAATACCCCTCTTGTTTGGTTAGATATAAAACGTTAAATACATCCAACACCCATCACTTCCTGAGTTTTTCATCTTCCTTGGATAATGCTTTAGTCTCTTGTCAAAAGGCAAGATCAGTTTTTAGGTTTTTTTAGATAGGAGAAGGAACATTTTTCCTTTCAGAGGATTGACATTCTTTTGACATTCAGGGAGAAAATTTTGTAAGACTCCATCAGAATATAAAAAGGGGTAGCTTTGTCCTCCTGTAATATTTGAGATGCAGCACTGATCAGTTTTTAGTTTGGATGGTTTGGAAAATATGTTTTATAGTTTTACTGTTGCATATTTGATAGCTACTGCAATCAGATTGGTTTTTAAAAAAATCTTCCCACAGTAGTGCTGCTAAATGTTGGAACGAATATGGATTGTTACCAGATGTTAAATGGCTTATTTAGGACGGTGTGTATGTAGGTCATACAAAAAGTTTTAGTGTTTATCAGAGTTGTCCAGACAGCCAGATTATAAGTTTCTAACAGAACTGTAACAGATGAATATTTGTCTGTCAATAGCTCACATCTAAAACAGGATAGAAAAAAGTTCAAAGAAAATTATAAGAAAATAGGGGCCATGTCTCTTTACAGGCAGACAGTGAGATAAGTTCAGGTAGATATTTCTAGCCAGAGACATGGACAAAGCAGGTGCAGGCATGTTGACAAATACAGGAGACAACAGATGTACAGAGGAAAATAAGGGGAGAGCTGTGTGTTCTCTTCCTGTGGTCTGGGCACTCAGTGCACCCCCATTCTCCCATGTTGTGCTGGCTGGTGCCTGGGGTCAGAAGAGGGCCACTCTGCCTCCAGTCCCAGCACATACCTGCTGATGTGCTGCCTGGAAGCAGTTGAAGGTGCTGCAGCCAGGGCCTCCCAGCCATCTACAATAGTGCTGCTGTCATTGAGGGTTCACTCTGCTCCTTCAGCAGGGACTCATGAGAAGCAGAGAGAGGTGCTGAACAGCAGGAAGCTGCCAGGACTCTTCCTGTTCAGTAATGGGGAGAGGTGTGAATCACTGTGGGGGTGGCTTTGCTGAGCCCTCGCCCAACCCTGGCAGCTTTAGCCAGCAGGAGTCCCAGTGTGGACCCCCACCCACCCCGCCCAGGAGCCTTCCCTCATATCTATCTGAATCCCTGCCAGCTAAGGGGAATTTTGGGAATGAGCTGCCTGGGCCTCAGAAGTAAACATATGATGTTGGGAAGGGGAGGAAGAGATGGAATCTGGGGACAGAATTTAATTGGTTGGGCAACAAGAAGTAGAGAATACATGAATGGGAGAGCAGAACCGAACTGACTGAGAGGGAGACAGAATAAAACTGTTTAATTTCTCTCCCCCAACCCTTTGTGTGTTACTTGGCTTCCCGGACTGCAAACTCCTTGGAAGAAGGTCTGTGCCTTCTTGCTGTTCTGATTCTGATTAGGGTCTGTGG